TAGATTTTGCAGGTTTGGGAATGGATGTTTTTTTGTAGGTGCTAAAAGTGCTGTAAGGCCAGTTCTCTCTCCTCTGATTCATTCATGCTTTGATTTCCTTTTCTTGCAGTGTTTGACCTCCTGAGGAAAGGGTAAGTAGCCCTCCTGGGATCTCTTGTGTTGAAATTTTTGGTGTTCCTCATTAGCTTGCTGTGTGAGAAGGAGGTGCGCTGTGTACAGCGGGACAGACTGCTGTCTACAGGCAAGCACGGAGGAGACAGCCCCCAGTGGAGGTTGTCATTGCGCTGTTGCAGCCTGCAACGATGCAGATCTCAGTGGGCTCCAGGCTGCAGCTTCAGCGGGCTGCTGATGACGGGCTCCCCAGTCTCCCTGGGGACTGACTTGATGGCTATCCTGTAGGAGAGGGGAGGAAAAAGCCCCTGTAATCAGCGGGGGCCAGGGACTGTACTGTTTGGCTGAACGCAGCCTACCTGCTCCAGCTGAAGGCAATTAGCCTCCATTAGCAGTTCTGCCAGTCCTGCTGCTCACCTGGTTTCAGCAGTAGAAAACCTGTGTGAAGAGGGAGGGAGGGCAGTGGCAGAAAAATGCAAATGGGAAACAAAGGTCTTCTCTCAAATTTCAGCGAGAGAGGAGAGAGAAATACACCGGGGAGGGTTTGCTCCTGGGTGTCGAGGGGCTGCAGCACCTGGTTTTGGCAACGTGCTCTTCTCGGTCGGGGCTCAGCTTGCAAGGACAGTGTCTCACTTAAATCCAGCCTGAGCCACTGAGCTATATCCAAATGCAAGGTCAGGGCTAAGCTGCCAAATCGAAGGCAAGATTAACCCCCGCTCCGGTGCAGTCCTTAGCTCCTGCATGTCGTCATCCTGTGAACAGGACGTGCTGACTAGCCCCTATGGCCTCTCTGCCCTCAGCTGTCAGCAGGCACAGGCAGAAGAGGGCATTTAGAGGCTAACCTGGGGGCTAGCCCAGCTCACCGCTAGCCCAGGTGCTGCTGTGTCTGGAAAAGCTGGCCCCGCTCCGGTCCAGGGGGAAGCCCTGCTGTCGGGGCAGCTGAGGTCGCACTGGTCCCAGTGCCATCAGTGGGAAGTGGGGCTTGCTACGAACTGCATCCCCTGGAGACTGAGGCCTGAGCACTTGGCGCTGTTGGAGGTGGGTCCCACAGGAGCGCAGCGGGGGGCAAAGCCCACTGACGTCCCAGAACAGCCCTGGTGCTGTGGTAGGGTCTGGAGGGGAGCGAGGTCTCGGGAAGGCAGGTCTTGGCTCAGGAATCTGATCAAGCGTTGCTTGATCTGGGTCCTTCCAGGAGCCTGGCCCTCAGAGACGGGGCCATGATGGTGCAGGATGACTCGAGGAGCTCAAAACTCCCCTGGGAATGAGTGTTGCTGCCATGCTGCAAAGTACTTGCTTACTCTCCCTCTTTCCTTGCAGGCCTGTCATGGAAGTGCCCTGCGAGCAGCCCTTCGATGAGGAGCAGGCACGGCTGTACTTCAGAGATATCGTCTTGGGCATCGAGTACTGTGAGTACCAGGAAGCCTCCCAAGGCTGGAGGGCTGTCAGAGGGTCCCCGCTAACCATGTGTGACAGCATTTGCAGCTGCTGGTGGCCTCTTCCAGCTCAGGTTTACCCAGGCTGTATCGTGGGTGCCAGTGGCAAGCATTCCTTGGGAAGGATATTAGGAAAACAACGGCTGGCTGTTTTCCTTGCCTTTTTGACTCTTTCTGGAGGGTATCTTAGAAGGCAATGGCAGGGAAACAGGTATTTGCAGACACAGGCCGAGTCAGGTAGCTT